AGTAAGTACCATTTTAAATTAGGGTCACTGCAGCATTGCAGTCGGTGTTCTGCAAATGTGGGCTGAGTACCTACATCTGTTGGCTAGATACATATGCCATTATGGAAACATTTGCTTTTTTTAATGTTTGTTTGTGTGTGTTTAAAATGCCTCAGATAATTGAAAATCCTGCCGATTGTGAAAAATGTGCAGTGATTTGTTTTCTTAACGCAGAGGACGTGAAAGTGGCTGACATTTATCGGCAGATTAGTGAAGTATATGGAAAAAACATTATGAGTGATGGAATGGTAAGAGAATGGGTTAGAGCATTTTAAGATGACCATACTAATGTCCATGACAAAGAATGTAGTGGGCGACTGTCTGTTATTACTGAAGACTTGACACAGAAAGTTGATCCAAAAGTTCAAGAAAACAGACGCTTTACAATTTCATCATTATCTTACGATAACATTTCTCAAGTTTCAAGGAGTGTTCTTTATGAATTAAGACAAAACACTTAAATTATCAGAAGTTGTGCTCATGACGGGTACTCAAAATGCTGGCAGAGGTGCACTAAACCAAATGTTTAGCCAGTACTTTGACTTTCCTTGAACGACAGTGATGAAGATGATGCGTTTTTAAGCCAAATTGTCACTGGTGATGAAACATGGGTGACTCATGTTACACCAGAATGCAAACAGCAATCCATGAAATGGAGGCATTTAACATCACCCAAGAAAGTCATGTTCAAGCAAACAATTTCAGCCTGCAAAATCATGTGCACTGTGTTTTGAGATAGGCAGGGGGTGTTGCTAGTGGATTTTTTGCCTCAGAATAACACAATAAATGGTGAGACATATTGTGACACCTTAACTAGACTGTGTCATGCAATCCAAAACAAAAGGTGTGGCAAGGTCAGTAAGGGAATTGTTTTGCTTCATGACAATGCCTGCCCACACATGGCTCAACAAACCGAAGACCCAATCACATCATATGGCTGGAAAGAACTTGATTACCCTCTGTATAGCCCTGATCTAGCACCTAGTGCTAGATCAAGGCTATACGGAGGCACTTGTTTCTCCACTTGAAAAAGATCTAGGCAGCCAGTGCTATGATGACAATGTCAAAACAGCTGTGCTGCAGTAGTTGACAAATCAGGCACCAGGTTTCTGTGAGGATGAAATTCAGAAGCTAGTTGTAGGATATAAGTGCCTTAATATTGGAGGAAATTATGTTGAAAAGTATATTAAGGTACAGGCTTTCATGGATAAGTAAAATTGTTAAAAAAACTGCACTTGTGTTGTGTGTTTTTTTTAAAATACCAAAACAGTACTCACTTAAAAAACATGCCTTGTAGTTTGTCCAATAAGATAGCTGGGGCTTTTTGGCCACTCAGTTACTGGAGGGTGCTTATTAGAATTAAGAAAGAACCATTCAGAAATAAAAAAAACCTGAGTTGTTAGATGTGGAAAATTAAATACTTATAGATTTTTCACAGAGTAACACTTTTGATTCCATGCAGGCAAGTGCTATTATGCTATCAGTCGCAGTAATAAAGTGAATATATTATATTCACTTTATTACTGCGACAGATTATATATTATATTCACTTTATTCCTGCCAGGCAATGAAATAATACTTAATAAAGTCAGATGGATGTGCTTGAATAGGGCCATAAAGAAGACAAAGGAATTAGTATTTTCCACTTTAACGAGACTAATACAGATTGAAAATACGTTATTCCAAAGAAGCCCCCACACACTAGAATTTGAAAATAATAGAATCATTAACTTACAAGATAGGCTCCGAACGAATTTAAGAAACCGTTATAACAAGAAACTCAACTGGATTCTACGGGTTCAAATACCTAAAGGCCATGGACATCATTCTTGTCCATTTTTAGTATGGGATGATTTACAGATCCCAAGATTTGTCAAAGATGTACTGAGGCTCGGACCAACCTTCGCACCTGCAAAGCCGGTTAGGGAAACGTTAAGGTATTCTATACCAGACTTGGAACTGCTATTATGAGGCTTCACAGACATACAGAAGGAGTACTACAGATGGGTAGCCGCCCTCAAAATAAAAATCACCAGGGACTCTAAAGAGGTCATCAAGCTTAAGGAAAACATTAAACGTACCATCAGATGGACATGTCAGAATGGAGTTACTATAATAAGAGCAGATAAAGCCAAGAATCTGGTTATCAAGAAAAAGGAAACTTATGAGAGAGGGATGCGGGAATATATTGACACAACGCAATGCAATGAAGCAGATACTAACTGGATAGAGAAATTACATTCACAAGTTAAACGCTTGTTGGCTACGAAATTGGCCAAGAAACTAGACGTAAGAGACATTACAATGGATAACCAGGATGTTCCTAAGTTATTTGCGTTTGCAAAAACGCACAAAGAAGGCCAACAGTTTAGACCAGTTGTAGATAAGGCCAAGGCACCTACGCGTAAATTGGAGAAATCAATCCATAACATTCTTGTTCAGCACTTAAGTGACTACCCGTTTACCATCTCTAATCCCGTTGAATTGATTCAGCAGTTGAAATTGACCTCCTCCCCGGATTACATCACGATTTTGGACTTTAAATCATTGTACCCTTCCATTAAGATCCCAGCATGTTTTTGCGCTCTTAGAGACTTTCTATTCACACGAGTAAACGACACATCGCTCCACCAGAACGTATTGGAATTGGCACACCTTATTTGTTATAGTTCTGTGTTTCAATTCAACGGGACAACATATTCACAATCGAGAGGGGTCCCGATGGGCAGTCCGGAGACTTGTGTGAATTAGTGGTGAGACAACTAGAATCTAAGACTCTTCCGAGATTGCATCTTCATGCAGTACATCATGCTATACAGAAGATACGTAGATGACGTTATTGTTGTATGGAAAACATCCCCAAACTTGGCACGATTTGTAGATGCTATGAACGATAATCCATATGGGCTGACACTTGAGGTGGATCAACATAGCAACACTAATGTCCACTTCTTAGATATAAATATCAAGATTCAAGGACCCAACATTCACACTTCAGTCTATCGGAAACCGTGTGCAAACCCCACATACATACCGAGCGATTCATGTGATCCGTTTCAGTACAAATTGGCCGCTTTTCAAACTTTAGTTAGAAGAGCATATTCTCATTCATCTACACAAGAGGCACTTAGAGAAGAGTTAACATGCATTGAGAAGATCGCTGTTATGCATGGCTACCGCAATCTTGTTCCGAGAATCGCATAACGCCATGAAAGAGCACTAATGTCAAACGACACCTCTAGGACAACATTAAGAGACAACCACGGCAGTGAGGTGGAAAGGATCTCGCTTACATTCAACCCTATCTTGAGATCGGTATACACAGCTATAGCCAAAAGACGTAATATCTACATTGCTTACAAGAGAGGCTCAACTATGTTTGACATACTATGTAATGGGAAGGACCCGTCTGACCCGATAAAATTGCCGGGAATATATCAGATCCCTATTAGGAATGAAAGATTCGACAGAGATTTAGTTTACATAGGGTCTACGAAACGCTCGATGGGGGTAAGAATAAGTGAACATAAAGCAGACATACGTCACAACAGAGCCACCAAGTCACTGTCGGTGTATGCTTCTGACTCGGATATTACGGTTGACTTCACAGGGGCAATGTTAATAGTTAAAACGAAACAGATGGACCACCTCAAATGGTTAGAGGCGGTGGAGATATTTAAAGCGTACACTTCATCGGAGTGCATTAATACATGGGAGGAGATGGCTCTTTCGTACGCTTGGCAGGCCGTTTTGCATAATGATCCGTAAAGGTTGATTTAACACCTGATGATGCGGAGTGGACATGTGACATGGAAGCCTAAAATAGTAGGTCATATGATTAACGAGAGAAATTACATGATGGTTAGAAGATTGTATGGAACTCTGAACAACCAGGAACACAACGTGTACAACGCATGCGCAATGGACACCGACCATTCGAAATATCATCCTTCGTTTTTATGAAAATTTCATAGCGGTGTTCCAGAATATAAAAAATCCAGTTTGAAAACCTGAGGAAGAACACGGAAGGTGTTACGAAAACATTTGTACGTGAATATTTTATGATTTCACATCGGTTACAGGCATAAGTAAGTCGTAATTTTGTTTAAAGTAAATATAATATATATATTTTNACCTAATGAATGATACAGTGTGCAAATAGTAATTGTATTACTTGGTAGTTTATAAAAAGAAAAAAAAATATGTACTCTACAGTTTGAAAAACTAATAGATATTCTTAATTTCTAACCATAAATAACATTATTTGTACATTCTAGCCTCAAATATAGCAGTCACAAAACCCCGCAAATTTTTCAAGGGATGGTCTGCAAAGAATATGGTGAGCCCCATCCTTCAGCACTTAGCTACCTCATTGTGGCCCTGGTGGAATGCAGAATGTGCCTGAAAAAATCAACTTAGTGCCCACAGAGTAGAAATAGTATAAAAAAGTCTCAAACACGAAAATATTGAAAATTTATAAACAACAATAGGCTAAGATGAGAAAATTTTTCAGCTATTGTGCCTAGGGGAAAGTGTAAAAGTAAAATTGGTCAGGTAAATTCTAGATTTAAAAAAATAAGAACGACCGAGACTCCTGAAGGTTGTGAAGTCCAACTTGAGCAACATTGAATAAGAATGGCTTTGTTGAGGGTTGCAGAAACAGCATCACAAGATCAAGCTTGACTTGAAGCTATTCTCAATTCTTCAATCGCTACTTTCTCATGAAAAATATTCTGTCATGCTTGACAAAAGAATTTCTACTTTAAATAAAAAACTAATTAATCTTCTGTAATTCACATTTGATAACAGATAATCAAAACTGTGAATAAAGTCTTCTACTCAACGGTCATTTCAGTAGTTGTAACCAGTTATGAAGAATAACATGCACTACTTCATTTTGTAAAGTCAATATATCACCAATCTATATATTTTATACTTAGAAACATTTCAAAAAAACTTACTTTTTCATTGATTACAAATTCTGGTCTACACAGAGGAACTTGAGAGGATATGGAATATTGAGTAAGACTTATAAATACATCTAACAAACACAAGCAATGAACAGCAGCTTCCCACTGCTTTCTCCTATAATTTTAAAAGAAAAATTATAACTTATTATTCATAACATATACAGTTATCCCTCCATTTATGCAAATTCACTTTTAATGTGATAAAAATTTTTAAATTTTAAATAATTAACTTCATAGAAATGAATGATAGTTACATCAAAACAAGTCTTTTTGTTAGCAGTAACCTTTTATATAAATGCATATTTAAAAAGCTTAAAAATTTTCTACTCCAGTAATAGTAAAATATTGCAGTTGGGAATACAGAATAGATTCCTATTTTAATCAGCTTCCATGGCTCCATGTATGTAATTTTCTTTTTTGTGCTATTCTTGTCGAACCATACTTGTATAAAAGTAGGGATTAATGTACATTTAATTAATTTTAAAATATATTTATATATGCAGTTATGTAAGTTACATTTAGACTATAGTAATAAAAATATATACTTCAGGTTAGAATGTTTTGAGAGAGCTTCACTATAAATATCATTATTTTAAACTATAAACATAACTGATACAGGTATCCTTCACTTCATGAAAGTTTGATTTTACAAGAGGCATATATTAGTACCTGTTTTCACTAAAGGAAATCAAAGAGAATTTTCACTTTTATGAAAAAAGTTAAGAAAAATAGTGTTTAGCATTTGTTTTACAGCAAACTGCTTTAGAGACATTTAGAGCAGCAGAGTCATCTCCAAGCTCCTTTCCTGGGATTCAAACCACCATTCAACATCAAGCCACCATAACTTTCAATTGTGTCCATGAGTATCTGTGCTTTATGTCAATTTATTTTGTGCATCTGTTAGCAAAAATACAATGATAAAGTGGAAAGTCTATTGCTTGAATGAACTGATGGGTGTACAAAGCATGGCATTCTATTAAGTTAATTTTTTCTAAAGAAGAAATCAGCCAGTTTTTGATAAGCTGAAACAGAAAGAATGGACAATAGTGATGGAAGTATTGAAAAAGTGGAATTTAAAGGAAGTCATGAATGGTTTTAATCAGTTTTAAGATGAGAATAATTTCACAGCTTAAATGTTGCTTACTAGAGACAGTACACTTCTGATATAGTTTCAGTAACTACACTTTACTTACATTTCTACTTTATATAGATTATGCACTTATCATATTATTCCAGCTTTTACTATCTCTTAGTAAAATTTAGTATGATTTAGTTATGTAATTTTGATTTTGAGAACACTCAAAAATTTTTCTCATATAAATTAATGGTAATTGCTTCTTTGCTTTATATCATTTTGACTTACGAAAAATTTTCAAAGTAACACTACTTTCAGATAGTGAAAACCTGTAATTACAGAAAATAATATATTACCCAGAATCAAAGGCAGAGAATATTCTTCTCATGATATCTTTTAATGCTGCATTTCTGTGTTCTTCGGCAGATATTAGTTTTGCTAATAAACTTTTTATTGTCGGAGTCCAATAACGTTTGAATCCTTTCCTCTGTGTCTGTAAGTCATATTCATCAGTTACGTACTTGGTTGCATTTTCTGGAACCTCTAACTGATAACGATTCCGACCACTACCAAAATACGTAACCTGTAATGAATTAAATGCATATATGAATGATAAAAGAATATAAAATTCATAATTATAGAAACAGTTTATCATTTTATTTAAAATTATTAAATTAAATACTATCAAGTAGATAAAACTGAATAAGTATAGAAGAAAAATTCAATACCTTAATAAGCCCAGCAAAGTTTTAACACACATTAATGTTTTTGGTTATTTTAAATAATCTTCAGGCAATAACATTAGTAGTAATGAGCAAAAAAGAATAGAACATTATAAAAATTTTAGAAAATTAACATTTACAAAATATAGAAAATACCAAATTATAAAGAATTCAAGATAATCAAGCATTGTAATAGCATAAACTAATAAAATTACATTAAAGCATAAATAAATAAGTACATAGTATTAGTTCAATAGAATACTGGTTTTCTTTGTTCTTCAAGAATTTTCCAGTTAAAGGGACTTTCCTATGCACCCTGAATTTTTCTCATTACAACTTATGTTGTTATTGCCTGAAGATGGTATTTAAAACCACTGAAAATGCCATTATGCATTAAAATTTTTCTAGACTTGTAAAGGTGTTGAATTTTCCTTAAATACTTTCATAAAACACACAAATCATACATATTTATAAACTACAATGGCTAACTTTTTTATTATATTGTTCAGTAATTATATAATAAAAAAAAAGCAGATTAACTCATTCAAAATATGAAATTATTAAAATCAATTATATAGTACTTCTGTAGTAATTAATTATCTAGTCAGAGTATAGAAAATTGTATTACTGTACCTTGCAATTGAATATATTTTTTTGTATTCTTAAATAAGAATCAAATTCACTTTTAGTTTCTTCAATTTCTTCCATTGCTGTATCATATTCATTATCCACACCTAATGATTTATTAAAACAAAACAGTAAAATGTTACAAATGAAAATACAAAAACATTTAAAATAAATGATAAAAATCAAATTAAACTTTATATTTATAAATATATCACTTTTATTTCTCACATTTACAATCAAAAAGTTATTTTACAGTATTAAAAGAATTTCTATTTTCAATCAAATTACTTATCCAATATTTCCAATTTAACTGCATATTCCTACAACAAAGTCAAACTTATTTCTCATATAACCTTTATATCATATGATTTGATGATAATGATTTTTTTCCTATAGTGTGAATTGAATGATCCTACTTAAATAATGAAAAAAACTGAACAATTCGAGTATCAATCTACACCAAAAGTAAAGATTTAAACTCATCAAGCTGTTCATTGGCACCCTGTAATGACTTTTTAATTGTAACTGTTTTCTAATTATACAATCAAATTTATAATTACACTTTCATGTTTATATATATAAAATTATATTAAAACAAACACAACATTATTATATTCTTTACAATGCAATTATTTAGACAGTGGTGTCCATTCTGTCACATGGAGGAAAATGACAGATAACTAGATGAGAGAACATTAAGTTGTACAAGGTGTGTTTTTTGTAAGTACCATTTTAAATTAGGGTCACTGCAGCATTGCAGTCGGTGTTCTGCAAATGTGCACTGAGTACCCACATCTGTTGGCTAGCCACATATGCCATTAAGAAAACATTTGCTTTTTTTAATGTTTGTTTGTGTGTGTTTAAAATGCCTCAGATAATTGAAAATTCTGCCGATTGTGAAGAATGTGTAGTGATTTGTTTTCTTAACGCAGAAGACGCGAAAGTGGCTGACATTTATCACAGATTAGTGAAGTATATGGAAAAAACATTATGAGTGATGGAATGGTAAGAAAATGGGTTAGAGCATATAAAGATGGCCATACTAATGTCCATGATAAAGAATGTAGTGAGCAACTGTCTGTTATTTCTGAAGACATGGCGCAGAAAGTTGATCCAAAAGTTCAAGAAAACAGACTCTTTACAATTTCATCATTATCTTACAATAACATTTCTCAAGTTTCAAGGAGTGTTCTTTATGCATTAATACAAAACACTTAAATTACCAGAAGTTGTGCTCATGATGAATACTCAAAATGCTGGCAGAGGTGCACTAAACCAAATGTTTAGCCAGTACTTTGACTTTCCTTGAACGACATAGTGATGAAGATGATGAGGTTTAAAGCCAAATTGTCACTGGTGATGAAACATGGGTGGCTCATGTTACACCAGAATGCAAACAGCAATCCATGAAATGGAGGCATTTAACATCACCCAAGAAAGTCATGTTCAAGCAAACAATTTCAGCCTGCAAAATCATGTGCACTGTGTTTTGAGATAGGCAGGGGGTGTTGCTGGTGGATTTTTTGCCTCAGAATAACACAATAAATGGTGAGACATATTGTGACACCTTAACTAGACTGCGTCGTGCAATCCAAAACAAAAGGTGTGGCAAGCTCAGTAAGGGAATTGTTTTGCTTCATAACAATGCCTGCCCACACATGGCTCAACCCAATTACATCATATGGCTGGAAACAACTTGATCACCCTCTGTATAGCCCTGATCTAACACTAGGTGCTAGATCAGGGCTATATAGAAGCACTTGTTTCTCCACTTGAAAAAGATCTAGGCAGCCAGCTGTGCTGCAGTAGTCGACAAATCAGGCACCAGGTTTCTATGAGGATGGAATTCAGAAGCTAGTTGTAGGATATAAGTGTCTTAATATTGGAGGAAATTATGTTGAAAAGTAGATTAATTAAATTAACCCCTTAAGGTACAGGCTTTCATGTATAAATAAAATTGTTAAAAAAACTGCACTTGTGTTGTGTGTTTTTTTTAATATCAAAACAGTACTCACTTAAAAAACATGCCTCATAGTTTGTCCAATATGATGGCTGGGGCTTTTTGGCCACTCAGTTACTGGAGGGTGCTTATTAAAATTAAGAAAGAACCATTCAGAAATAAAAAAACCTGAATTATTAGATGTGGAAAATTAAATACTTATAGATTTTTCACAGAGTAACACTTTTGATTCCATGCAGGCAAGTGCTATTATGCTACCTGTCACAGTAATAAAGTGAATATAATATAATATATATATTTTAAAAAATTATCTTTTTTTGTAAAAATTATATTTAGTTTGTTATTTTCTTAAATTTTTGTAAATAGATGGCACTACATATAAAGCCAGCAAATTGAATACACATAGAAATGAATTGATTTATAGAATATATTTTGGGAGAGATGTACAACATTGTCCAAGAGTGCATTTACTTCTGAGCTAATAGTGTACTTCTGAACACCAGAAGTGACGTCATTAGCATGTGTATTCATGCTTACATGTCCAGTTCGAAAGTAAATGCGAACACTAACAAGAAATATGGTGGTTTTCTGCAAATAATATTGTCAAAGCTGCTATTTTAAATGTTACATTACAAATAGAACTACTTGATTCTGAATCAGACGAGGATGATTTTATTGTGGATATAATTGTAGAAAAAATGAATAAAGAAAAAAGAAAAGTAAGGTCAAATAAAAAAGATAGAAACTTTTATTGAAGAGACGCTACCTTTTTATAAGCCAACCGATTTTAAACAACCTTAGACTTATAAGAGAATGTTTTGAAATTCTCCTCTAAAAAATAAGCCCAATTATAGACACAGAAAAATTACTTCCTCTGGAAGACAACCCGTGTCTCCTCAAAAGCAGCTTTTATGCTGCCTATGGATATTGGCAAATCAAGAATCATTCAGGTTTGTTTATACGAAGTAATATATGAAATTAGATGCAGTATATAAGAGAATAGTATATTATACATACATACAATACATATTTAATGCAATTGTTTTATCCAGTGAATGGATGTGACATTGTTCTTTTGTGGTGTAACTAAACTGAGTTCAAAATTAACAAATAGGGAAAATACGTACAAAATGACATAGGCAACATAATTCGAATTTGTCGGCCTCAAGCACACAACTGACCACGACACCACGTTATCTGAGCAGCTTTTACTAACCTGTCAAAACGTGAACGCACTCCTCTCATTTGCCCGGATGTCATGGCCAATGACAAGTGTTGATATGTTATGAGTTTTTTCCTTGCAACAAGTTTTTTGTATAGATGGTATGTTTTTCACTATTTTATCTATTTGTGTAGCATTTATTTCAACCCTCAAGAATTTATCGTTGCACTTAAATAACTTTTCCATTAAAAATATCATCTTTGTATTTATTTTATAATTTTGTTTTTCATAACGTTATATGGACAAAACGACATACCTATGTCATTATGTCCGTTGTTTATGTATGTCATTTAGTCAATAAGAGCTCAGTCAAGGAACTTATCTTAACCTCAATATCAGCTATAGAGATCCCGTGCCATCACACCTAATGACAATAATACAGCTGAAATAACAGTATCTACTGAACAACAAGCCAATAATACATCTCAGGTTCCATCAGCAAACACTGAGCAAGAACTTTTTTTAACTCATTCAATTCAATATCATTCATCTGCCGCTAATAAAGAACATCCATCGTCCTCTACTCTTGCTGTGTCTATTGAGGAGATTTCTCCAGTTCCAAAAGGACGTTTTATAAGTGGTCAAGGAAAACGTAAGCCAAAGACTCAATAAACCTCTTTAGTTTTAACTTCTACTCCTAATATGAAGGCAATTAAATCAAACAATGAGCCCAAGCTACGCCAGAGAAAAGCAGACGAAACGTTACTAAAAAGATACTTGAAGAAGACAGTGAAGAAGAAAATTTTCCTGATAACTCTCTAGATGATGAAGAGGACTGTCCATGCATATATTGCAATGATCTTTTTTCCCGATCTAAGCCTGGAGAAGACTGGTTATGAAGACTGATGCTTAAATTGCTTGCATTGGGCTCACGCTTCTTGCGCAGAAGTTCCTAAAAGAACCAAACATTTCATTTGTAAACTTTAGTCAGTAATTTTATAGTTTTTACATGTATGTCATTTTGTCCTTATGTAATGTGCCATTTTGTCCATAGCATATGGACAAAATAAATTTTGGCTGATCTCAATTAAACTAACAATTTTTTTTTTATTACTTTTATTTTATAAATGTTTATTATATTTCATAGGTAAAGAACCAAAAATGATTGGTGTAGAATATGACAGTGCTGTGATTTACCAATAAAGAGTTATGAACCTAAAATAAAACTATATGTCATTTTGTACATATTTTCCCTAATTGATATTAAATACAAAACATTTTCTTCTTTTTTTCTTTTCTCTAAGAGTATTGGCGATCATTTTAATATGTTTAGACAGACTGCGTGGAATATTTTAAATAAGGTTGTTAATTCTTTCTTACAAGTTAGTGTTAAATGAAAATGAAAAAGAAAAATGATCTCTTGGCCATCACACAGCAGGATGACGTAAGCATAATGGAATTTTTTATACCTAATCTGGTTTTCCTGGAATTAGAGGCTCTATTGATGAAAAGCATATGGCTATTAAGATATCAACTGAAGTAGCAGCAGCTACTTTCAATAGAAAAGTATTACTCTGTCATCATATAAGTTTAGTTTGTAATGAAAAAATGGTATTCAAATGATACAATTTCTTGAGAAGTCATTTCCCATATGTAAGTGAAAATTCATTCAAGTATACAAACTTATGTAATTTTGGCTTATTATTAATGCTGTTCATTTCTTTACAATTTATTTAATGCTCTGAACATAACATTTCTGAAGATTCCAAACACGTATAAGGTAAACCTCACTTTTAATCATAAACAATGAATAAAAAACTTAACTTTTTTCACATTAACTAACTCTGTTTATGAAAAAAGTCATCTAAAGCTATTGAACCTTACAATGAAAAAAAAATCATTGTAAACATTTTACACAACAAATAATTGAAATTTACCAATAAAAATACTTTCTGTCATTTATTTTTCCAAAACTAATTCCATTTTTCTTACTTTGTACAGAAAGTAATTTTTTTATGAAAGCAGCCATATTGAATTAGCACAAAGCTCGACAATGAACTTGCTAGCACTCCAAGCTTACCAATTTTGCTAAACATGACGTCACGTAGCTCTTAAGTAAATGCCAATGAGCGTGGCGCTCGGACAAAAGTATACAGGCTGAGTGTGCTGACAGTAAAATTAGCTCAGAAGTAAACGCACCTCAAGTTAGAAGTATGCAAACATAACTGCAGAGTTTTGTAGCAATTGGTCGAATGGTCTAAGAGCATATAGCAAACAAACAAACATCCTCATATATATAGATAATATATAGTACAAGTTAAATATAGTGCTCATATATATAAAACATAAAAATGTTGGTGTGGTGTAAATCATATAATCAATCAAAATTTTAAATGAAAGAATAAATTATTAAAAAAATTAATAAATACTAACTGTGTTTATAAACAAACTAGATATTTAGTAAATTCTGTGAATGTCTAAAGTAGATAATTAAGTAATTACATGGAATATTGACAGCTACACAAAGCATAACATTTAAGTTTGACAAAAGAAATCATCAGGTTTTAAATACATCAGAATTGCCAAGGATATAATTAAATTAATATATCTTAAATATAACATTTAAAAAGAAGGAACATATGTTTGAGCTTATTGCAATAAGCTTAATTTACCTGATGTGTTTATGTTACAAATTTTTTCTACATTAAGTAAAATATTTTATTTATAATAATTTATATACATTACTGTATTTAACCATCAGAGTGTTAAGTTCAGTTTTGGGATTAGTGTTACAATATTTTTCTCTTATGCTACTGCCATAATAAAGTATATATTGTACAGTATCTTACTGTATTAAGCCTCTATTTACTGCACTGCATGTAAATATAGTACTGTTCATACAGGATGGTATATTATTGTTGATTATAAATTAATTTTTCTGTACTGGTAGAGAAAATTCTATTATCTGTCTATTCTCATATCCATCGTGGCCTAGTCCTGATCTCTGATGGATAATAGTTTCTACTTATACAGAAGAAACTATTAGTATGTATGTATAGTATGTATCAGTATAGTATGTAGATATCACAACAATAAAATTGACAAGAAATAAAAAATGTAAAAGCAAGTGAAAAATATAAAAGGAAATCAATAACAACATAAAAATATATAAGAAGTGTGAAGAAACATGTCTAAGTATAAACATTTTTTTTAGATTTATTTTTAAAAGTGATAAAATTAGAAATCGATAAATCTTTGATGGCAAACACATAAGAAACAATGAAATGGTAATCAGAATTACAATACATGAAGTATTTCACAAATAGCTTCACCAGCATATATGAAGTGCAAAGTCAAATTTACTTAATTTTAATAACTTACCATGGCTTGGAATAATCTTTCCATCTCTTTTTGCTTTTTCATGATCAAATGAATTCTGAAAACAACAAATTTCTGTAAATAACTTAAATATTAAACAAAAAGTATAGAATTCTAAATATTTTGCACATATTTTATTAATTTGAATACAATAAATAAATTAAATTACATTAAAATCAAACAAAATAATAGCTTACATCAAAATATAATAACCTATCCTTCAACTGTGGAAAAAGTCCGCCTTCAGTTTCGAGTGTCACACATTGCTGAAGAATCGAAGATCTGAAATATTTTATTAAGATATCGGAAAAAATTTTTTAAATAATTCTAAATTAATAAAAAATAATTTATAACTTAATGCATATTTAATATTCAAAAAACAAAATATTGTTTAATATAAAAGATTTGAAATGTAATTTAGGCCACTTCAACGTCAAACACAAATGAAATAGAATAGTGAAAAATTTACAATTATTGTAAAAATTTTAAAAAGAACTGTCACTTTTTCACTTTAAAAAACTATAATAAACGATAAAAATAAGTTTATAGTGATGAAATATGACAGTTTTAACAAAAGTCAACTACAGAAAACATAGAAACTCTGGCTCCAAAAGTAGCCTACAAGAAAAGGTTCATTATGAGATAGTTCCTTAGATAACAAAGTAATATATATATATATATACTAAATTGCCGAACAATCGCCTAAATATCGGGCTATTATATGGCTAATTAAATGATTAGAATAAAGTAATTTGTCATTAGAGGTAGGCGTTAGGCGCCATCTCGTAAGTAAATTAATAATTAAAATTAAATAAATAAATTATTAAATTAAATTAATTTTAGAACTTTCTGGAATAAAAGAACTGGCCCGGGACAAGGCTTGAACCCGCAACCTCCGCTTGCCGTGCGGTGCGCTTGCCAGTTACGCCACCCGGACCCCGAGCAAGTCTTCGCTTCCAGAAATATATTAGATTAGATATAACCTTACTTGGTTAAATACATCACTGACTGGGGACGACTCCTTCGCCCACGACCCTAACGGTACTCAGCCGGCTAACGTAACACCCGGCGAGGTATATATATATATATAAATCAACTCACAGCCCGAGTAGATAATAACAACACCAAACGATCGCCTAATTATCGGGCTATAATATGGCTATTTTAAATGATTGGAACTAAGTAATTTGACAATTAGAGGTAGGCGTTAGGCGCCATCTCTTAATTAAATTAATAATTAAATAAATAAATTTAGAACATTCTGGAATAAAAGAACTGGCCCGGGACGGGGCTTGAACCCGCAACCTCCGCTTGCCGTGCGGTGCGCTTGCCAGTTACGCCACCCGAACCCCGAGCAAGTCTTCGCTTCCAGAAATATATTAGATTAGATATAACCTTACTTGGTTAAATACATCACTGACTGGGGATGATTTCATCGCCCATGACCCCAATGGCACTCAGCCAGCTAACGTAACACAAGTAAGGTTATATCTAATCTAATATATTTCTGGAAGCGAAGACTTGCTCGGGGTCCGGGTGGCGTAACTGGCAAGCGCACCGCACGGCAAGCGGAGGTTGCGGGTTCAAGCCCCGTCTCGGGCCAGTTCTTTTATTCCAGAAAATTCTAAAATTAATAATTTATTTATTTAATTTTAATTATTAATTTACTTAAGATATTGTGCCTAACGCCTACCTCTAATGACAAATTACTTTATTCTAATCATTTAATTAGCCATATAATAGCCCGATATTCGGCGATTGTTTAGTTGATATTGGTTAATTGGGACTTATGTATTGTATTATACATTTGCTAAACTCAAAGGATAGAGTTTGTAAAATTTAGATATGAACTAAATGTTAATAATTAATGCAAAATGATGAAATAAAAACTGGTCATACATTATATAAATATATTCAGTTTTCAGTTTGTTTGAAAAAATTTACTGGTGAAGTTGATACTATTTACACAAATAAAGCAGAAATAAAAAATAAGATTATTTTTTATTGGATTTGTTAGGCAATAGCATATTAATAAGAGATATTTAAAGTTTAGAAAATATATTTAAATACAAAGAGTTATTCGGAATTGTATTTTATCCTTGGTAATAAACATCTTGTAAAAATAACTTGTTTAAATTTGGAAAATATTGTCCAAATGTGAAGTTTTAAATAATGGAAAAATGCATGCTGTTGGATTATTTTAATGGATAAACAGATGATATTGACATGTAATAAATTTTTATTTAGGTCAGAAGAAAATGTTTAGTTATTAAAACAATATTTTTTGTCAGCTAATAAAAAACAACAGAAAATTGACTGATTTTAATTATTAACTCATATATTGGTGTCAAAATTTTTTGTTTGTTTTAAAAAATGAAAAATAGTAGGTATTTTTATAATCTTCATAATAACACCTTAAATCACTGAGAAACAATTTATTACATCAATGAAAGTTTTCAACCTGCTCCACAGGCAGGTTGAAAACGTTCATTAAATATTCAGATTTAAAATTCTGGATCATTGAAAATCATTCCACACTGTGTAAATATATATGATACAGAATTTGTATATGGTTTACAGTAACCATATACAAATTTTGTATCATATATATTTATTTGAATTCAAATTCCAATATATCCAAACAACTTGTAATTTTAAATATGTTCTTGCATGTTCTACACAGTACAGAATGTTTTCAATGTTCCAGAATTTTAAACCTGATGATGGCATATGGAACAGATTGAAAATGTTCATTGATGTAATAAATTGTTTCTCAGTGATTTAAGGTGTTATTGTGAAGGTTAAAACTTATACATGAGTGTTTATTGGGTAGTATGCTTATAATTACACATATATCACTTACATATTTGCATATTTTTTTGATTTATATCATATTTTCTTGATTCTAGATGCATTATGGGTTTGAAATTGAATTTTAAGATTTTTCTTATGGCAGAAAAAATTTTTAATCAAGTTTATTAGGCTGCAATTTTAAAATTGCAGACCTAAAAATTCTCACTGGCATTTGTCTGTCTGTCTTATTCCTTAATCTCAAGAATTTAGTGAGTTAGATGAAATTTGATAGCAACTTAGGAGGAGGAGGCCCCAATTAACTATGAATTTCAGGTATGAACTGGAAGTCATGTGATTTTAATTTAAAAATGTTCTCCAGAACAAGTTAGATAGATGATTGGCATGAATGTTGTTATCAAGAAAAGTATGATGTACAGGGAAGATAATTTAAAATATATGCTCTTGATTTTAGTAGTATGTTAATAAAAAATCTTCAGTATTAATTATACTACGCTATTAGTCACTGTAATACATTATTTAAAACAAACATTTTTGGCCTAGTTTACTGGCTTGCTTCAGATTCTACACATTCAAATTTAACAGTTTAGTGAATGTTCCAACCTTTAAACTGATAATTTATTTAAAAAGGCATTTTTGAAATTAGGGCAAAACCATTGTTTTTAATAAAGCATTGTTGGAAGGTGTGAAATTGATTATTAATAAATAATCTTCATGCTTTATTGATTAGTATATACAAGTTTAAATCTTATTAAAATTTACAATTTTTACAGAAAAATAATAAATCTAAAATTATTGATTTTGAATAGTAAATAAAGTAACCTTATTGATATTTTCCATATATTTAAATATTAAATTTAATAATTTTGTTTTCACTTATTTCATAACATGCAATAATANAGATATAGTCAATAACATGATTATATCTTCTAAATTAGTTAGTCTGGAAGCAAAGTTCAAATGAAGTTCCTGATTGTAAAAGTGGCAATGTGGCTGCATAGTAAACAGAACTTGTAAATTTGAGTCCTGCTCCAGATTCCAGATTGATTTTAACTTCCAGAATATTCTAAATTATTTAATTTAATAGAAGATATTCACCTTTAGACCAATTTACATAATATTTAATTAGTCAGGTTCAAGTAATAATGCCAGACTCATTATTAAGCATTAAAACTTAATAATGAGTCTGGCATTATAATTTGATTTTAAATATGCTAATATAGTTAAATATCTTTTGTGGAATTTAACACTAATAAATTAGAATTTTCTATTGTATTAAGGTTAATTTTTCTCTGTCAGGAATCACAAATAATAAATGCAAGAAAAAGTATTCATAGGTTCAACTTCAGTTCTAAGGCAAGGTAATTTCACCATTGCTAACAAATTAACAATGACAATATATATATAAAGTAAACATTTTAAATTCTTGCAAATAAATGAAAAAAATAATACTAACGTAAAATTATTTCGATGATTTTCAAATAACTGCATTATTTCAATTGAAGTCTTAAATCCTTCCAAGACAGAAAGAAAATCGGCAATTTTCCTTTTACCATAAGTCTCTGCTTCAAAAAGTATGGCTCTACTATCAGGGTGATCAGATCTGCGTCGCAATCCTTGTGTATGGATTCTGTTAAAATTAAATTTATTTTAGTTTTCTTATTAATTAATAGTAAATTTGTTGTATTATCATTTATTTTCCATTCTTTATATCAGTGTGCAACAAGCTGCAGAAAATTCAAAATTTAATAATGATAATCTTTAAGTTAATTTAAAACGCATATTACAAAAAATCTTTTTAACTCAGTCGATTAGCCTTTAATAAACAAAAGCAAATGCTTTCAGCAATTTTTAATGTCCATCTCAGGCTGTTTGTATAATATCAAATGTTTTTAAGCAAATTTAAATTCAAATTACAGCATCCTATCATTTAAATTATATTTTGCTTTTCATTTCTGTTCTGAACAAGGAATTGGTATGCTCCAAAAACATTACAGTCTGATGCACACAGGCAGTAAAATTACAGCAACAGTGAATGTAAACAACAGATTCAACCAATCACCCATTTTAATTGTAAAATAGCAAATGGTGGTACCATCATTGATGTTCAATGCTGCCTTCATTTCACTGCTTGTGTACATCTACCTGAATTCTTAATTAAAATTTCTGATTTCTTCATATTTTGAGCATTTTAATTCCTGCTGATGCTAAATATCTTGAAGTCAAATTAGTCTGTGATGTGATTTCCAATTTATGTATAGAATTTTTATGTCTATGATTAAGAAAATGATTCAAAAAATTGTTATTAGGAAATATATTTTAGGATAAGCTTAAGCAAACAAAATACATTTTTTTATTCTATGTAATTAAATGATGATTTAATAAACATTTTATTATACATAATGTAAAAAACCATTGAATCTTATACTTATTCAATAATCTTTCTAAATCTGGCAATTTTCTCAATAGTTTCACAGCATCTGGTATTATTTCCTGTACTTTTTGTAGGTCTTCAATTGCATTTAATCGATCAGAAATAATTTTTGGATTGTATAAAGGTGAACACAGCCACTGATAAAGAAGTCTTTTTCCTGTTTTAAAGTATAAAATAATTTAAATAATATTTTCTTAGTGATTCCAATGTTTTATAGAATATATAAATATATATACAAAAACTTACCAAACATTGTACTACAACAATCTAAAGTTTCTAATAAAGTTCCTTCAGTTGTACCCATTGAATTACTTAATATTTCTAAATTTTTCAAAGTTACACCATCTAATACCTATTTGATAAACAAATAAACATAATTTGATAAAAACTCAAAGAATATACAATGTCTTTTTTTATTGTTAATTGTCTACTTGGACTTTACTTATTAAAAGGACTTTATACTGGTGTCTAAAGATTGGCCCAATACTGAGAGTTAGTTCAGGACACAACAAAATTTCTTTATTATATCACCTGTAGTAATAATTTCTAACAGATCTTTAGACACCAGTATAAAGTCCTATTAATAAGTAAAGTCCAAGTAGACAATTAACAATAAAATATTAAAATTTAAGGACAGTAAGGCTTTTACAATTACAAATATACAGTGTCTTTCACAAAGAATGCTATCATTTTAAATTATTGAAATTATGTTAATTATTATCCATAAATGTTGTAATGTACATTAAAATGTTGGAAAACTATTCAAGTTTTACATTTGCGCCTTACAATTTCTCAATGCATACATCTCATGTCACATGGTGCACATCCAACCAATACCTAATTTTTCCTATGTTCACTACAGCAAACACATTGTCACTCCTCCCATAGCAGTAATTCTACAGCTCCAGCAAATTACTTATGTTGCAGAATAACAAGTGATTCTGACTTTTCAAACTGAAGAACACAAGATGCCTTCTCTCTTGTGGAATCACCATTTCCATTTAGGGTGCTTCCTAGAGGTAACAGATGACAATATGTTTGAATGAGGATGGGAGATAAAACTCAGATGGCTACTTGCCATCTGAGTTTCATATCTATCAATTGGTGTATGTTGCATACTTCTCAGATAATAAATATAACTAAAGTAATTTAAAATGGCAACATTCATGTTGGAAAACATTGTATTAGATTTTTTATGTTGAAACCAACCATGTGTTGTCTTGATACAGATAACATTTTATTTTCTGGTATGTCACCATCAATGGGTGTATAAATTTCAAAATTTTTCAAAGTCAAAATATCTTCTTCTATGCAGCATTCATTCAAATACCTTGAAATAAGGACAGAAATTTTATTAACGATAACTGCGGAATAAAATTTTGAATTGTAAATGTATACTTTACCATACACAAGCACCTAATGCTTTACATCCGAGTTCATATTTTTCATTAGCCGTCTGATATAGAGGATCACCTTAAAATATAAAATAATTGATATTTATTCCAATTTAAATTTTTAGTCTAAAATTATGTATCACTTACTTTTATCGATAATAATTTTAACTGCTTCGGGCCATACTGTAACACCTTTATCATCTACAAAATACTTTCCTTCATTTAAAAATTTTAATGTTTTGGAAGAATCCCAAAATTCAGAACCAGGTTTAAGAACTTCTCTTAAAGCCAAATTTGCACAACTATTTAAAACTTGTTGAGTTTTTTGAGAAATCATTCCCTTTTCAGAAAGAATCTGATTAAAAAAAATGTAAAAAATTATTGTATGACTATATATTACTATGAAAAAAATGAGATGCAAGATGCTTAATAATTTTCATATTGTAAATCTTACAACTATCATCTATAGTAACAAAAAAAAAAAAAAAA